ATAGGTAGCGACCAGCACCTTGAAGCAGATTCGGAGACTAATAGGTAGCCAGTGCAGCTCGCGGAGGATAGTTGTAACGCTCGCGCGGCTGCATTCTGGACTAATTAGAGTCTTCGAACACTCTTCAAGGGCAGCCCCATGTAGATTAGGTCATCTCTTGGGAACTTCACAGGTCACTAAGTGAACGGCTGAAAGTCAAGGATTACCTGTACGCTTCTGTAAATATTCTGAACAATATCCTTTCCTCAATAAGGATCCACAACCATGATGAGGCTTACTGATGTAACATAGTTCACACAACAAAGGATCCCATCTGAATTTGATTTAAGGAGAAACTGCAATAGGGCAGCCATATTGGTTTATTCAGCATTTCAAAATACGGCCTCTTTACCTTTGTTGTGATAGACTTGAAATCAAGGGTCCAAAATGTATGGAAATAAGCATAGCTGAACTCAGGGGAAATTTACTTTGTGTAACCACATAATTGGGTATTACAGTAAACAGGTTTTAGACAGCAACTTGTCCTTTTAAAATAAAGTCTCCATAGTTTCTTGGAAAAAAATAAAAGACGAATCTGAAACGGGCAAATTTGAAAGAGGTTTATAGGATAAAAACTTCTTTGTATTTATTACTTTGCTTTACAATGCAATGCAATATTCAGGGGCAAAACCAAGAAAAAATGTTTACCTTTCTGCAAATGTATATAAAAATAAAATATTCAAAATCAAAACAAATTGAGTTTAAAAAGACAATTAAGCGTCCACATTTTTATATGAATGTGAGAAACACTGTGCATTGAGTGGCTCCCTTTTTTTGGCACAGGTCAAATAACCAAAATGAAAGCGAGTTTTTGAAAAGCAAATCTAAAGGCAGTTGAGAAAGGCTGATGTGGAAAATTCTAAGTTAAATTCCTGGGTTTCTAGTTACAAAAAGAATCTGGTGGAAAAAAATGAGAAGAAAACTCTTTGCTTGAAAGTCAAAACAAAGGCAGAGGGCAACGTTGGTTTTGACGGACCCTATTCACACATTACATTAAAATCATGGTTTGCTTTGTGGTTTGATTGAAGAAATGACGGTGGCTAAGTTCACATCCTACACGGTCATACTGTGGTTTGCTTGTTGGCTTTGGCTTTTTACCTTGGTCCATGCATGGCAATAATCCAGAGTTTTGCTATAGTTGTAGACAAAGCCACAAATGGCTAGGTTCACACAACACGCTGAGCCACAACCAACCACATAATGACATTATGTGGCTTGAATGCAGCTGCGATCTGAAGCTGTGCAAAGCCAAGTCAGTTGAGCAGTTCAGCCGAGAAGAAGCAGGTGGTGAGGACAATGCCACATGGGTTACAGATGGCCACAGAACGGCTTCGCAAAGGTGCTTACAGTTGTTCCTAAAAGAGCCGAGGTAGCGCAGTGGTTAGGGTTGCAGTATTGCAGGCCACTTCAGCTGACTTGTTATCTGCAGTTCAGCGGTTCAAATCTCACCGGCTCAAGGTTGACTCAGCCTTCCNTTCCTCCCTCCTGCCTCACAGGTTTCTCGAAGTCCAGCCTGGTCCCTTCTCCCATTTTGCAGTCTCTACAGCAGCCACAGACTCTGCTACGCCTTTCTCCAGAATCCATAGGACCTGTCTTGCCCCCCAGGGGTTCCCCAGACCTTGCTCCCTCGAGTGTACTTGAAACACCATTTCCTTTTCCATTTGTTCCCATTCTCTCTGTGCTTCCATCAACAGCTTCTCCTGCCTCCTCATCTCCTCCTCACAGCTCATCTTCTGCCACCTCTTTCTGGCCCAAAACTGCCAGGCCTTCTCTGCCACCCTTGTTACCAAAGAAGTTTAGCCCATCCATTCCCCCAAGCCCTTTGACTCCCTCAATTCCATCTGCCTGCTGGCATGGAGGGGTCCTTCATGAAGATAACAGCTCTTGGACAGAGGCACTGTGTCTGAATTGCTCCTGCGAGGTATATGACATATTTTGAGTTCTTATCTTACTCTCCAGCTTCAAGTGTTACATTGGTACGGTCTGTATTGTCTTATTTCAGGGTGGACAAGTGTTTTGTCAAACAGTGACATGTGAAGTTTCCTGCTCTCACCCAATTCCCCCAGCCCCGGGAGAATGCTGTCCTGCCTGCACAGGTGAGAGAAGTATCAAGTAGATCAATGCTTGTGTTAGATTGGATCATGTGGGTCTTCCCTTGTTCTAGCCATGGAGGATTTTCCCCATGTACCCCTTTCCCTCACAATTGATCAGAAGCAGTCCCTAATTTCTGAAACTCTACCTAGTAAGTCTCCATTCCTGTTTTAATTAACATTTTTGTTAATAAATGTTAATAGTTTTCAGATGCTCCCTGGAGCATCTGAAAACTAGGCAGCTGAATCTTTATTCAACAGGTGCCATGTCTTGTGCAACTTGACATTTTGTGTAAAAGGTAAATGCTCCTATGAGTTGAGCTTGACTCCTGGTATCCAGCTATGCAACATTCTGTATACAGTTAGCAAACTGTAGCATAGTTTTTTTAGACCATGTTTAATTGAAAACTAAAAAAATTGGCACTGTCCCACAAATTTTAAAATTAAAAAGTTTAATTGATCAAAATCTCATGAGATTTTCAGGTCTTATAAGATTTCAGTAATATCATCTGTTGATTCTAATATGGTTTAAACCTTGTAAGGTTTGGCAATTTCAGCCATTTTTAATGTAGTGAATTTATTTCTTAATTAGACTGATATCCCATCTTTTCTTCAGGAGCTCAAGGCAGTGTTCATAGCAATCCCTTCATCTATTTCACCCCACCAAAAGAATCATGTGAGGCAGGTTGAGCTGAAAGAGTAACCAGCCTAAAGACACTAGTTAATTTCTATGGCTAAGGGTGAACTGAGCTGAACTAAATCCAACCACAATGCTACTATAGCACTCAATCATTATGGACACCTTGTGCAGTATCACAGGTCTATCCTGATACATACAGATATTCCTTAATCTAGATTTACTTTAACCTTAAAAAATAATAGCTGTGAAGTTTTCAGAAAAGGAATGAACACAGCAGAGGGAGAAACGTTTCCCATCTTGGTGGCCTTCTTTAAGACTGTTGGGCCTAATAGAAGTGTATAGTGTAATATATAGGTAGCTTTGCATGTTGGACATAAGTGAAATAGAGCTTTTAACTGTGTTCAACAGCCAAGAGGTGCCTTGAATTATCTGTGACTTGCAAATGATGATATTGTTACATGTATAAGCATCTAACAAGTTTTTGAAAATATCTACATGTTGAGCACTGAAATTTTCCCAGTTAAGAGAAAGTGTAATGGGGCCTATTTCCCTCAGTTCTTGTCCCTTCAGAGAAGAATCTTCTCATTCCTGTTTCCTACAGGCTGTTTCTATTATGGGATGTCCAGAGTTGAAGGGGACGTATTCTCTCTCTCTGAGGAGAACTGCACAGTCTGTGTCTGCCTGGTGAGCCTCAGGGATTTGGGGCTGGTATTTCTTTGAGGACATGTAAATTAATACTTGCTAATACTTTGGATGAAAATAAATATAATAACTGTTGCTTTTGCTAGCAGCCATCTAACAACATTGTATTGAAACGTAAATGTTTTGATGGGCATCTGTTTTTTGACCAATATCCCAGAAAGTAGGGTTGAATTAAGAGATGAAATTATTCCTCCTCCTCCTCCGTTTTATTTATAGTACGAATTATTATACAATTTAACATGTAGTTTCAGACCCACATGATTTTATAATGTAGCCATATCTTGGGTCACTGATTTTCAACTATTTATCAAAGATGCCAAGTTTTCCTCCCCCCCCAAAAAAAAATACAGAAAGAGGGGAGAACAATACTATAGTGAAAGATAAAATATTTTCCAGCTTCTATCAAACTTGCATTTTCATGTTGCTTTCATGCCACCCAAACGCCTTTTCTGAACCTGGCTGTTCAGAGGGTTCAAGNCAAGCTACTACTGCTGTGCTGGAAGCCTGTTTTATTGTTTGCATGCTAATAAAATGATGTTATACCTTTAAAGTGGCTAAGCAACAAAATTTTCTGCCCAGCTACAAGCTTGAGCTGAGCTGAGCTAGCTATGCTGTAAGCCCTGTCTGTCTGGTGCAGATGTGAATGAATGCCGCCGACCCAGTGAGAAGCGAACCTGCCAACACTCCTGTCACAATACACTGGGGAGTTTTATGTGCAGCTGCCATCCAGGCTACAGACTTAGTGTGGACAGATTGTCTTGTGAAGGTAAGAACTGCCATATAGTTCATTCTACAAGAAAGCCTTCTTGATCCTTTGCATTGCATCAATTATCTGTTAATTGTGGTAAAAACTGATCAACTAGTAAAATCCTGAGACTCTGGAAATGTGAGCACTGGGAGAACAAGGAGATGTTGGAAAATGTGTAATTCTATTCTACATCTGTTTAATAAGCCAAAGTGATTCAGCCCAGTAGAGACTGGCTTGCTGCTGTAAACTGCCTAAGATGGTGACTACATTTGTTCCTCTAGAAATCTCAGTTAGAATGCTGTTTCCACCTTCTTGCTCATCTCATCTATGTTGGTTAATGTCCTGTCGAGTTTCACCCGTGATAGTGCTTTTGCCAAATGTATACATTTGCCAAATGTATTGTTCCAATGGAACAGAACTATAACAACTATCAATTAAAATCCCTGTCCTTTTTTCTTGTTACTGAGATCCCCAATGGTCTTAGTTATACCTACTGGTTCTTGCCCAACTTAAAAAAAATCAAGATCAATTCAAAGAGGCTTTTAAAACAGGGCTCTCAGTCTGTTGGATTAAGTTATCTTCCCTCAGTACGTGAAGCTCGCCAGATCAGCTTTCTGGGGCAGAGGTTTATTTTTCTAAATAGGCAGGCAGGCAGGCAGGCACATCCCACCTTCCAGGATTTTTTTTAATGTGCTTTAAAAGATCTGTAAAATAACTTGCAGCAGTTTTAAACAGTATCTTTTGTCATATAGACAAAATATACTGAAACCTTGATTCATATTATATTGATAATCATTTCCAAGAAACATTTTAATACAAATTTATCTGACCTTGTTTGTTACATAATTTTCCCTGAAGCATACTTTTGCAATATGTATTTTTCACTCTATGTGTTTGATTTTTTAAAATAAAAATAAACCTTTCTGTTTGCATCTTTCAAAAACATATTTTTTCATTGAGTGTCTCTTAAATGATGTTTATTGCATGTGAACTTTTTTAGCAGATGAACAGAAATTAGTAAACTCTACTCAAAATTCTACCTGCCCCATAAGCAGTTTGTTTTGACAGATGCTCTCAATTTTTTTTTTCCAAAATGGGATTTCGTTTACTCTAGAGAGACAGAATTTAGCAACCCTTTTGGATTCCATTAACAAGAGTTTTCAAAAGCCTCTGTTGTTGAAATCAGATAAGACTGGAGTCAAAAGCTGGGTAAAAGGCACAATTGAGAGCACAGTGTAAAAGCTTTGGGCAGTTAAAAGTGATGGCAGGAAGTCTGTACTTCAGAATTACCAAGATTCTGTTAATATAGCCTTATAATATAGCCTTGTAAAGTAGAATTTGTGACTAGATTATGCTTCCTGTCTGGTTTACCAATGTGGTCTGATAATTTCTCTCTCTCTCCCTCCCCCCCCCCCCCTCCCCCCCCCCCCCCCGTTCCTCCCTCCTGCCTCACAGGTTTCTCGAAGTCCA